GATACCTAAACGGCACTGGCACATAGCATGTAGCCCAGAAAAGCTAAACCAAAGTTCATATTTCATATTTCTCTAGCCTTGTCTTTGAAAAAGTAATTACAGCTTGGCGTTTTCCGTACAAAAAAGGACACAACAGTGAGGTAACACTAAACATCTGCACAAAAGATTTAGGATCATTCATTTTACAAATATCACCAATCAAAACCACACGATGATACCCTGAACACCAGTGCCAGGGCTAGAAAACCAACAAAAAATGTTTAAAGGAGGAGAAACAAAGCAGTTACGAGCAAAAAACAGTAGTTGGAACTAAATTACAATGGAAATGTACACTCTCAAATATAGCAAAGTTTTTGATAGAAATGTTTGAATTTCTTCCTTCATTACACAGAAACAGAAAGCCTATTTTTCAGGAGGAGACTCTAAATGTTGGAGGCAATGTGGGGATCAGGAGGCTAACCGCTGGAATATGGAATATTTTGGGGATGTCTGGTGATGAGGTCCGTACTAAAGAAACAGGCAGAGCAAGTAATACTGCTCTGCCCATAGTTTCCACTTTATTCTTAGGAAATGTAGATTTTCAGACAAGATGACCACATTAATATATATTTAGTATTCTGATGTATCTGTTGTGCAGGGCCACGGGTCAGATTTGAACCCGGGCCGGCCGCTCTCAGCCATGTGGGCGCCCACTCAACACGCTGACCTAAACCAGTGCCCCGATGTGTTTATGTTATCGCTTCCAAATTGTATAAAGTTCCCATAATCTAGTAAAAATCTATCGGTGGTGGAAGGTAAAACATTGTACTAGTTCTGCTACTTGCCTTGTAAACATAAACAAGGGTTGGTCTCATGTCTCAAACAACTTTATTCACATGCAGCCCACTGAGATTAAAAATTTCCCCTTTCTGTAAAGTGCACATGACCAGCTTGTGACAAGAACATGAGTGACGGTGATTTCAATGCACTAAATCAAAAGTTAAACAGCTGACAACCACTGATGATTTCACATGAAGTCCTCTTTCGTGCTGTCCTGTTGAAAGTTTTAGGAATATTTGGTGAATTAATTCAGTGCCACGTTACCACCAGACACATGGTTATGCATATCATTTTTAATGGATACCAGGATATCTATATTGATATGGTAATGTGTTAGGCACAAAAGAATGTTGGGTTGTTTGATAGAAATGAAAATCATCAAGTTACAGAAGGCTGAACCACATCAGCGCATGTTCCTAATTAGACAACGGATGGTGTCCTGGGGGAGCTCCGCCCAGATCTGGATAAGAGCGCCAATAAGCTCCAGGACAGTCTGAGGTGCCTCGGATGAAACAAAGCATAATGTCCCAGAGATGCTCTGGGACCAAGGGTCCAAGGGTTTCATCCCAATACGTTATGGCAGGAGTGCTGTTACTTAGTCTACGTGTCCCTCAATGGATATGTTTCCCCAGACAATCAATTACAAACTGGTCAAACTGGTCATACTGAACGATGTTAGGCAATAAAATGTTCTCCATGGTGTCTCCAGACTCTTTCACACCTGTCACAGGGGTGAAAAGCACAGGATGCCAATGGTGAACCTCCAGATAAAGACTTCCACCATGAGCATTCATCCTACATTAAAGCAATTTCTAAACAATTAAAGTACAGAAGTTCTATTTTTCACTATCCTCTCCAGAAAGTTCTCTTTTTTCCCCAATGTGTCCACAGTATGAAATTTCCACAGGAAACTTTCTGTGAATTCACAAAAACGTCCTGTTTAAAGTCCAAAAAGTCACACTGACAGATTTCTTTCATTAACTCCAGCAGCGTTTGTACTGTTGTCATGTATAAAAACATACTGTTGAAACCTCTTTTTCTTATGTTAAGATATTGCAGGGGTTAAATGCATGGTTACATTTCTTTACACTGTGTGAAAGGGGAGTTTCACTGTTACGGCCCCAAAATACAAAATTAGTTAAACAGCCTCGGTTTAGACTATAATAAACACAATACTGGCTGAAATCCACACTTTATCTGCAAAACAGTTTATACCTCATCAAAAAACTGTATGAAAAGCACAAAACATCCAATCAGGTCGCCCTCCCTCTGGATTCCCCAGCTCTCCATATCCTAAAAGATTACCACTCTGAGATTGGTTGCTTTTTATTGGTTACCGGCACAGAATTGCTATTATCACTGCAGAGCTGAAGAGCCAAGAGATCTTACAGGATATGTGCGATAATCACATTTCCCCAAAATTTCAATCAGCTGTGAATGAATCTTATTGCTGAATTTGTGAGACAAGCCCTGTTTTCTTGCCACTGTTTAATGTCCACTTACCAGGAAATCTGCTGTAAAACATAACTCATAGTGCAGTAACACAAAATTTCAACCATTAAATTTAATATCATACTGCTCTGGCCTGCTGGTAACCTTGGCCTGCTCTGTGTTACACCATAATATTAGAGATTTGTTAGAGTTTGCACACTGTCAAACAGGTGCGGAAGAAACAGACGGCAATCGGCATCCTTTTCTCTATGACTACGGCATACCCAGCCTCCGGCCAGCTGCCTCTGACACTGGGAGGAAATAAGGAAATGGAGGAGCCCAATACAGCTAACTGGAAACTGTGAGTGCTGGAACAACCACACACTGGACACACATTGTGAAATGCAACCCGCCTAATAAGGAAAGCAGATTGAACATGCTGAAGAAACATGTCTGAACCATTTCTCACATCCTAACCAACCACAAAGTGGGTCACTGGTGTAAACAGGAAGGGGTATTCAATTTGCCATGTGTCTTCTGTCTCTGTCTTTGTGCAGTCTTTCTTTTAGTTCCTCCTTATCTTTTCCCCTTCTTTATTCTCATCTTATTTTCATTATAAGGTTGTTTGTACTTTTGATAGTCCCTCTGGAGCACCAAAAAAATGAATGCAGTGATCCTCAGTGCAAACAATTGATCTTCAGCTATACGTTCGCCTAGTCTACTCCTAAACAGCAGAAGACATTCTGACACTCTTTAGTCAGTTTCGGGCATTAAGCCAGAAACATACACTTAACCTGTTAGCCCACTTGTGTACGTGGAGGTTTCTGTGCTCATTATAACTGTACAAAACAGAAGCTTGAGGTAATCCAAGGTACCATTTTTTTACTTGAATACTTTTTTATTAGATTAACTGAGAGGTCAAAGGAAGTATGATCTGCGCCCAATGTGCTCATGCAAAGTTTAAGGCGGGATGCTAATCCACAGACTGTATAAAAAAGCGCTACTAAAGGCCTCATTTTGAGGCCTCGAGGTTTTGCAGATATGAAACATGAACGTAGACCCTGTGACATCATCCAGTGGTTTTGTACTCCATATTTTGAAGGGTTTCAAAAACCAGAAATTTCAAAACTTCTACTTTCAAAGAGTTTGAGTGCTAAGTTTTTAGCTAACCCTAGCATGTAACACTAGCAATATATGGATGTAGCGGTCGACATCCATATATTGTATGGGTGTGACACACACACTGCAACACACACCTGCTAATTAGTGTTAACTAACAGCAATTCCTGGAATTTCACTCACCAAAACTAAAGCACCAACTTCCTGGACCAATATCACAAACACAAGTGAGAGTTCCAGCTCAATTATAAAGGTGAGGCCTAGCAGACACTGCAAGTCAAAGTAGTCAATCAAAGTGGCCAGCACGCAAATGTGCTGTAAAACCTTGGTAAGCATTAAAAAGGTGAGCTTTAAAAAAAAATCCCATCCTGTGTGGTTTTTACGAAGTAAAAATTAGCACCAAATACTTTGGGGGCCTTTTTGGGGTGTTCTTTTGGAGCCAGCCTCAAGTGGTCATCAGAGGAACTGCAGTTTTTTTTTTTGCCACTTCCACTTTGGCCAAATTTGCAGTTATAGATTTGAGACTGAGTAAATATACAACATGCATATGACTTCCCATACGGTAACAAAATATATTTTGAAATATATTTTGAAATACATTTCAAAATATATTTCAAAATACAATTGAAAATTAATTAAAAATCTTTTCATATATTTCAGTCAAAGAAAACACATTCACATATAACAACTGAGAATCTTTATTTGATATCTAAAACAAACATAGCATATAAATCAAGCTAGGAACATACATTATACAACATTATTCTTATAACATGCTTAAACATGCTTAAACATTCTAAAATTATATACATATAATATCATTAGTTAATCATTAAGCGTGTAATCATTAGTTATTATTAATCTCTGGCTCTCTTTCACAGTGTGCATTTTGTCCTGTTGGAACAAATGAAAAAAAAAACTGAATTGAAACTGATCAACAAAGTAATTGAGAAAGATCAAAAATAATAAACTAATTCACAAAGGAAGAAAAAAAATCAGAGGAACTCAGCTGTCTTGGTTGCAAAGATTGACTGAGGTTTACACAGCTTTGATTACTTTGAGCCTTTACTACTACAATACATCAGACGTGACAGACACATCCAGCCTTAAAGCTCACTACAAACCACGTGATCATTTACAGTTCACCTGCTACTTTAGTTTATATCAGGGGTGTCAAACATAAGGCCCAGGTGCCAAAATCAGCTCAGCAGAGACTACAATGTGGCCCACTGAAAAGCTTTGCTTTTATTATTATTATTATTATTATTATTATTATTATTATTAATGTGAAAGAGGGAATAGAATTTAAACTTTTAACTGTTTCTGTCGTACGTTTCACAGGTTTTTCTATTGATTAATTATGCCAGAAACGTTTCTGCAAATGTTCCACTATAGAAAAAACATTATGAACAAGCTACCTGAACTTGTGTAATTTTACACATTGCAGTTGTTTTTCTTACATGAAGATATCTCGGGTATTATGATGTAAAATTAGCTCCACATCCCTGGTTTTTATCTGCCGCCTGAGTAGCGTCCTTGCCCACTCTGTCAATCACTCTGACGCTCCGCTCTCATTGGCTGACATGCCCCACCGCCAGCCAAACAGGGTGGATACCAAAAACGCGCAGGTTGGCAGAAGGAACGACCAAAAAGCTCCAAGCTGCTCGTTTAGTAGAACGAGTTGGAACAAACGAGGGAGCGGCTGCCGCGCCCTGTGTACGCCTCCTGGGACAGAGTTACTGCGCACAGGTAACAAATGCTAAGCCCACCGGAAGCGAAACAAAAGTTCGAGTAAAGATGACGCAGAAGACCGAGCGTATTTAACTTTGTGAGACTCAAAAGTAAAAGGTGGACTTGAGCCTCGATAGAAACAGAAAAAACCCCATATCATAGTAGTTTTTTCGGCCCTCTGTTTTTGTGGGGTTTTTCCTTTTTTTTCACTTTTGCTTTGTGAGCTGGGGAGGAGTTCTCAGGTGCGAAAACAAGCAAAGATCTAACCTGGATAACTATACCTGCTGGAGGCGTTCACAGACGACTAAAGGTGAGTTCAAACTCGTCTCCCGCTCCACATTCACACTTCTTCTGTATTAAAAAAAATTCAGCGGAGGGCGACGAGTTTGAAATGCGCGCCCGGGGAGAAGAGAAATGTTTGTACGGTGCTTCATTGTTTCCTCCGTGCGGAGGTCGCGACTCCCGTGAGCGTGCGAAGGTATCTGCGCGGAAGGAGTCTGGAGCTCATTACCTTACGGAGAAGCAGCCGTTCCCTTTTTTCTTTTTAATGCAGCTAAGCAGTTTTGCCACGCTTACTACGAGGGCAGTGTTAACTTTCTTCCAAAGTAAAACAACCATTTTTCTTCCCTCTGCCTTTATTTTCCCGGATATCTACACAGCACACTGCATATGCAAATAGAAAAGGAAAGAAAACGCCAAACGCACATTTACAGCACAGGTGTCGCCTACAGGAAAACAGCCCTGCAATAAAGTTAAACTGTTCCGTCTGTGGACACAGTGTTACGGCGTGTTCACTTCACAGAGTTAGTGTTGAGTTTACAGTAAGTCCCAAAAAGCGAAAGCAGCAAATCTGCATACGAAAAGCTTCACTTCAGGACCAGAGTACTGAGACAAAGTAAAACTGTATCTGTGCCTCTTCATAAACCACCATAAAGTTAACATCTCTGGTCTGCTTATTTTCTGATCCATCGCTCATTTGTACACTCTAACAAGGTGTCAGAAAGTATTAAACCTTTCTTTTTTTTCCTGTTTAGTTTGACTAAGTTATTTTGGAGGGAGGGCTGTTCACATTATTCAATTCAGAGGTATAGAAAAAGCACTGATTTGTTTTTGTACTGAGTTTGAACGGCTGTGTCAGTGTTCATATGAAAGATGTGACAGGACAAACCTTATTTTGTGAATGTTAAACGGACTGGTTCTTGTATAGTGCTTTTCTACTCTACTCAAGCACTTTATTACACCTGGCCTGTCAGCTGAGGTTTGAATTGACATGACATGCTAATGATCACTGCATCGAAAGCATGTTTTTCACAAGTTAAAAAGAAAACGCCAAAAGAAACAAACCTATTGAATCCCAGTCTTAAACATGCAGTAAACACACACCACCTCAAACTTGTATATACATTTTAAATGACATTCCTGATCCAGTCTCACTATTTATGCATATCAGCAGTGCATGTCCTCTGTCTTTATTACAAGATATTCACTTGGGCTTTAAAAACAAACAAAAATAAGATTACAGGAAATGCTAATTATGGGAATGAAGATTTAAAGAAAAACAAGGGTTAAGGGGGGGGGGGGGGGTGTTAAAAACAGCTTAAGTTTTAAAAGTGAAACAAAGACTGGATCAGTCATATCAGGAGAAACAAGCAGCTGTCTGTGCGTGTGTCTGGGTGATTAAAGTGCTAAAGGTAATCTCCATATAGGTGACACATGGTGAGTGGTGTCAATACTTCACAGTAGAAGAGAGGGGGTCCTGTGGAGAGAAGTACAATCTCAGTTTTACCTGGAATCAGAGGTCACAAACACAATCAATTGTGTCTGCCTACACCGTCGTATTGGTTTCAGCTATTGTGGGGGTGCATGCATTTCCTAGTACTGTTTCCTATTCTAAAGAAAGGCTGGCTGAAGTCAATAAGCTAAGACTCTTTCTTTAGGGAGAAAGAGAGCAACACTGAGGGGAGGAGGGAGAAAAGGCCTTGGGTGTGGCTCCCCTGGTAATGACCAGTTTCCATTCAAACCGGTGTTTACTGATCCCGTCGAGTCCTTTCACGCACAAACACAGACACACGATGCATGAAAACTCACAGGCTGCGCGCGCGCGCACACACACACACACACAGTGGTCAAGTTTAGAGGAATGCGCAAAAGTCTTAATTAGGCGTGCAGGAAATGCTGTAATTGAATGTTAGCCGGTGGTGACAGTTGGTTGGTCTTTGTTCTAATGCAAGCTGGTTTGTTGTCGTGAACTTGTGTGTTCAGGTCACAAGTATCAGTTGTAAACCCACTAAGACAACAGAAAATGTGGGAAGGGGAAACTGCTAAATGTATGTGTGAATGGAGGGGGAGGGTATGAGACTGTAACCCACAACTTCCTAACATCAGCTTCTTTCTCCTTTTCACATGTCAAGTATTTGTTTGGCATACGTACTCGTATGCCTAACGATTTCCGGTGTGTGTTCAGAACTGTAGCTGCTGTTACAGCTTAAGCTCGACTTAAGCTGACCAAGTTTTACTTTTGGTCTTTAGAGTGAGCCTGTAATAATACTTTATTTTTGTAGTGTTTATCAGATAATTGTATTATCTTTATGTAATAATAATAAAAATTTCAACATAAAGTGCATTTTTATTTTCTTAAAAAAGGCAGAAACAAAAGGTTATTTGACCAGCTTCACCTTTAAACTCCGAGTAACCTTAGCCAGCATTCTTTTGTAAATTAAGCTAAAACAGTGATCATCAAACACTTTAGTGCAAAAAACAACAAACTCATTGGACTCACAATACCTCCATGCTTATTTATTGTCTGTCTCTTTCAGCCAGTTATTTAGACAAACTAGCCTGTTCACATTTTCAGAGCTCAAGGCAGATCTCTCTTTTTTGTTACTATGTATTTTGCAAGTGAGAACAGTCTCTCCCATGGGACAGAAGTGGCAGGACTAACCAAATACTTGCAGACCAGGACTGACATCTGTGGGTAGGTCCCTGCTCGACTGGAACACAGGGCTCATCTGAATCAGTAGCACACTTTCTAACCCCCTGTCTTCTACCACTGATACTAGTCTACAGTCAAGAGAATTTGTAAGTTTGTCTGATGTTGACTTAGTAATTTTGGTCCTGAAGCCAGTCATTTCATCAAGTTTGGCCTGCCAACAACTTTTGTTGGTACTCAAACTGCTAACTCTAACAGCTCCCACAGTTTCTGTGCTGCATTTAGATGGTGCCATAAAGTTAAAGTGCTTCAGTGCTATGCAAACTCTGTTTGCACAAAACCACGCTTTTATCAAGGCTTCTGTTGGATAGACTGTAGAAATGAAATTTGCCTTCGTTCAGTCCTAGCAACACGCTTTCTTCTGATTCTGCTGGGGTTTTTTTTGGGGGGGGGGTTTGTAGCTGTGTGTGTCACTGTAATCGGTATACCAGGAAATCATGCATTAACAAAAGTTCCCCTTTGCTTGAAATGTAAAGTGCGATTAAATATGTTAATTTTTTTTCACACAATGTTTTTTCAAATGAATCACAATTAACGCATTAAATTCCCACCCCTAATTTTTACATTCTTGAACATTCGTCCAGAAGTTTGACATAAAAGGACAAAAGTAGTCACGTGTGAATGAGTACCATTACTGAGTATATATTTAAAAAAGTTTTTTTTTTTTTAAAGTCTTAATGACCACATGGGAAAATATGTATTCCCTGACCGGTTGTCAAGTAGTTGCTGGAGGTTGCTGGCTAACACTAGGAACAAGAACCTTCTTGTTATTGCTTTGATCGTTAGCTGACTGCAGTGTTCACCTTTACACCACGTTCCAAATTATAATGCAAATTGTGTTTAAGTGTCATAAAGATTAAATACGTTGTTGTTCAAATAAACCCATGGATGGAATCATGTCTCAGAGCTCTTTGGATGATTGAAATCAATCTTGGACACCTATGATTATTAGTTTGCCAGGTGAGCCCAATTAAAGGAAAAACTACTAAAGAAGGATGTTCCACATTATTAAGCAGACCACCATTTTCAAGCAATATAGGAAAGAAAAAGGATATTTCACAAAAACTTAAGTGTGATCACCATAATGTTCAGAGATTTGTGGCTGAGTCAGAACACACATGGGTTCGTGCAGATAAAGGGACAATGATGAAGGTTTCTGCCAGACAAATACGTCAGATTAAGAGAGCAGCTGCTAAAAGGCCGTTACAAAGCAGCAAACGCATATTTGAAGCTGCTGGTGCCTCTGGAGCCCTGCGAACATCAAGGTGTAGGATCCTCCAGAGACTTGCAGTTGTGCATAAACCTTATATTTGGCCACCCCTAACCAATGCTCACAAGCTGAAACAGCTGCAGTGGGCCTCGAACTACAAGAAGACTAGTTTTCAAACAGTCTTGTTCACTGATGAGTGCAGTGCAACCCTGGATGGTCCAGATGGATGCAGTGGTGGATGGTTGGTGGACAGCCACCATGTCTCAACAAGGCTGCAACGTCAGCAAGGAGGTGGTGGAGTGTTTTGAGCCGGAATCACAGGGAGAGAGCTGGTCGGCCCCTTTTGGGTCCCTGAAGGTGTGAAAATGACCTCTGCAAAGTATGTGGAGTTTCTGACTGACCACTTTCTTCCATGGTAGAAAGAGAAGAACTGTGCCTTCTGCAACAAAACCATCTTCATGCAAGACAATGCACCATCTTATGCTACAAGGAATACCTCTGCATCATTGGCTGCTATCGGCATAAAAAGAGAGAAGCTCATGGTGTGACCCCCAGTCTTCCCTGAACTCAACCCTATTGAGAACCTTTGGAGCATCCTCAAAAAAAAAAAAAATTGAGTGTGGGATGCAGTTCACATCCAAACAGCAGCTCTGGGAGGCTATTCTGACATCCTGCAAAGACATTCAAGTAGAAACTTTCCAAAAACTTGCAAGTTCCATGGATGCAAGAATTGTAAAACTGCTATCAAATAAGGGGTCCTATGTTAATATATAACTTGACCTCTTAAGATGTTTTTGATTGAAATAGCTTTTGATTTCAGTAAAATTGATCTACTAATGCTGCAAATTCAACAAATGACCATTTTCAGTTCTCTACAACCTATAAAATGTTTCAAAACTCTGTGCGTAATAATTTGGAACAGTGCATTTTAAGTTTTTTATTTTTGAGAAACGTACTGTTTTCATTGGCAGTTTTGTTGAGTAACATTTGAATTATACTCTAATGGTTGATGACTCAAAAATTATGCCAATCGGCCAACCACGCTAAAGCCATTGTCACATGTCCGTTATTAGACTGCGGGATAGTAACACTTACTTTTTAAATGTACAGG